ACCCTTCCGAATCTGTGCTCTTCAGACTTCGCCCCGTCTAGGTGCGTATGACCGAACAACGTGGACGCTAACGAGGTCTCATGGGAGACAGTTCCTTGCGGGTTCCGCCGCCGACGACATACATCGTAGGAAATCATAATCACCCCGAAGTCCCTACGCGTCGTTTGCTCCTCCAGTACGGACGTGGTCAATGTCGCTGCTCAGATTCTGACGGGATGCGGCCCTGAACATGTTGTCCGTCGGGGACCACATTTGGTCTCCGGAGCTGATCGTCCCGTCTTCCAAAGTCAAATATCAGGCGGGATCGTAAACTGTGTGCAACGGTCGCCTGAAAAAACGCCTATAACCAATAGGACCTTAGCGACGGATTGCCCAACCATAAGTGAGTGCTGCAAGGCCCTTTGTGCTTCCTATTCGTCTCCTCCCACTGTCTACTGTGTAAGCCAACGGGACGTGTAAAGATTCTCCCTGCCTCAACTCGGTGTGTCTCTTGCGAGGCGTATACTTGGCTGATCGACCCCAAACACGTCTCCTCCGAGCCAAACAACCTGCTTCATCCTCGTGTTTGACAGCTGCATCGTTCCGTGAGATGATATACGTGTTACGTTACGCCTGAGCAGTTTTTCTCCTTCTACGGTACGCTCGGCTCAAGTCCGTCTAAAGTCGCGATGTGACCCGAAGCGTAAGTTCGCGAAGGCGTACGTGGCACACGCCGACCCCTTTTGGCGACCATGAAGCAGCCGCGTGCGTACTCCGTGGTATCTTGTTCCGAAATCTAAGCATATCGGTCCGTGTTACACATATCAACACACCACGCTTGGTTCCTCGCGTGCCGTAGTAGTCTCTCGGAAGAATGCGCCAACCTGGTTTTCGTCGGCACGTTCATAACTATCGTCCTTTTAAAGCTTGTCCACTCAGAGGCTAATACAGCTCGAAATCCTTCATCGGCTACGCGAATGCTTGGTTGCGCTGCGTCGCTACTGAGGAACAGGGTTCATCAGTAACGGCAAAGGGTCCACCATGGCGTGAAAAGGAAAAAAAGAAAAAAAAGTCTGGCCAGCCATACGTAGTAGCTGCTAGTACCTAGGTATCACGGATAAGCATGACAAGGGTTTGATGATTGTCCCTTTGCGAGGTGTCAGGAAGGGGGGAGGCGATGGAGATCATCCGGCGGGGGTTCGTGGAGAAGAACGGGCTTGCATGTACGCAGTAGACGTACATCGCTCGATCCATATGTGACCACACAGGCCGTGGCATCCTTGATTGATGAGCATTTCTCGCCGACAGCACGCAGATTGCATAGCCAGTCATGTATTTACCCAAGCATCGACAAGGAGCAGGGCGGTCGGGGAAAGACAGAGACTGGGGCGCGCGGGGGATGTGTGCAGTGTTGCCGTACACTACGCAACGAGATGAGATTTGCGAGGAAAGCTTCGAGGTACGTGCCTATTCCTTTTGATGAAATCAACACTGTCACCTCGAAGGAGGGGGTACGGGCAGATGGAACACGAACACGCCAAGTAAAAACCACTCGTAGTGTCGGAAGATTGTTGACCTGATGAGTTGTCGGTATGCTACAGTCGAGAAGTACTCCGTAGAAGAGTACCGCCATGGTTCAGCCTGTATCTGTAATGGTTGGCAGCTTGGGTGAGCCAGAGCAAGGTTGTAATGCCTGTGGATGCGACGTTGACGAGAGTTTGTCGCCGTCAGCCCTCCGAGATGACGGACGACGGTGACAGGTGAGCAAGCATGGGGCTTGTCGTCCACCCGGACAATCCTGTCAGAGCTTGCGAGAACCCTACGACAGCATCTTCGTAGTTGGCTCTTCTGGTCGACAAATGTTGTTCAATCTTGGGCAGATTGTGGTGGCTCTGAAGTTCGACAATCCGGCTTGTAAGGATGATGTGATTGGCGCCGGGAGCGCTAGTATCGGTGATGATACATTAGCACGACGGAATAAGAACGAGAAGAGGTCGCGTACTTGCCTGGGATACACTGTCTTGTTTAACTCTGTTCCGTCTAATCTACACCGTTTGCTGGCATCAAGTAGCTGGCATCTGGCGGAATCCAGAGGTCTCAGCTGCACCGCCTGGGCGGCGCGATTTCTCGAGACAGGCCGCATCAGCAAGTCGTCATCGCCGGGAGGAGGACGAAGAAGTCAACCATGGAAGTCGTCAGGGGGTTCCGGGGAGGGATGGAAGGCTTAACACAGTAGCGTTAAGGCAGGTCTCGAGCACGGAGGGTGGGTATGAAACCGGAGCAACTCTGGGGGCAATCCCAGTGTAGTTGTGCCGCCTCGACGCTGATGAGGTTGAGAATGTGTCGATCCCAGGAAGCTCTCGGTGGTGGAAGGGCATGATTGGGGCTCCAGCTCTCATCTGAAGTCGGCCTTTCTCGAAGGGGACTTAGAACGAAGTTAAGAATAGGTAGGCGTGGCGTGGCGTGTCAACGGCGGTTCCCACTCCTGTTGCGACTGACATTTTGATGGTCTGGCTGGCGGCGTGTCAAACTCTTCTCGACAAGTCGATCCAAGACGGCGTCAAGGACAAGCTCGATTGTCGTTCAGGGGCTGCGCCAGGGATGTAGTCGCCAACATCATGGGAGGTTTTGCTCGTCCCTGTACCTGGAATGTAGTCCCTGAAGAGGAAGACAACATCGATTTCCGTCGTCGGTCAAAGCAAACCGGAGCGGGGCTGAGAGGGAGAAGTCGGACTACAGTCGATGAAAGGAGAGATGTTCAGGAGGCTGATGTGGAGAAAAGCCGGTAGACGAGTCGTTGACGCTGGGCGATGATGATCTTGCAGCCCAAGATGCGGCGTAGTTTAGGTTGAGGTTGGAGGGGCACGGAGGGGGGCAAGTAGTGTAAGGTAGAAAGGTAGCACGCACGCACGCAGGGAAGTCGCCATGTGAATGCAGCTCATCTGAAGCCGGTGCACACTAAGGCAGGAATTGTGGAACGACTTTTTCCTCTAGCTGCTAACATCATTCATTTCCAGGTCGGAATTCCACAAGCCGGAGCTGGGGAAAGGTGAACCGCGTTGTTTTAGCGGACCTAGAAGGTCGGAATGTGAATGCAGTAGTAGCAGAGTCAGAACATCCAGACACAAGCTGTCCCAAGGCATGAGATGCATCAATAGTGAGGAGAGAAAAGCCTCTAAGGTGCCTGATAGGGGTCATACTGCTTTGAAGTCCGACGGCGAAAGCGTCGACGTTCATTAATTTCCAAGACTTCTATGAGGATCTGAAGAGGAAGCCCCGACCTTGGAACTATTGCAAAGGCGAGATGGACTTGTTGAAGTGGATACGAACATCATCTCAGCTTGTCAGGTACTGGTACTCTTTCCCTCTACGGGTTCTCTATACGTAGCCAAGTACCTTTATCTGAGATGTCAAGCACGTATGGAGTACACTTGGAAGTCTGTAAATCAAGATACCTTTCGTCTGGGTTCGGTCTCTTAGTGCCTGAGGTAATACTTTCTAAGCAGGTACTTCGTTGTGGGGGGGAATTAAGCGTGCTCTGTTTCGATCTTGCTGCAGCCCCTTGTCCTACGCACTGGTCAATCATCGACCGTCGAATGGGGGGTGGTATTGGTTATGCCTGCCCCGAGTGCTAGTCTACCTTGTGCAATGAAAGTCGAACGATTTCTGATATTTGGCCGACATTCAGGACAATGCGAAATGTCAGTTTGTGAGACCCAGGAACGTACCGTAAGGTATTGCAGAATCGTCCAACGTCAACGGATACCAATACTTCCGTTCTCGTGACGACTTCAGCACAAGCTCTCCACTCCAATTAAACCCTATCGCCGATGATACGGAATGTCAATGCGGAATTTCCTTCCTATCAATTCGGAGCTTCTACGACCGCAAAGCTATGTCATTTGACTGAATAGAATAGAATAGCTCAAGGTTTTGATGGCTTGACGGCTTGCGCGGTTGGCTAAGGTAGTCTGGCAGCGTCACGTAATTGCGCCGTTAAGCTGTAGCTCGAGAGCCTTTACCTTGTCTGGTGATAGAGCCCGGACTGGTCCCCGAGCCACGAACCTTCACTCACCGGGATGAGTTCCGTAGTACAGCAAGTGGCTTCTGCTGGGGTCAAGGCACAAAGCACAAGCCAGGGCTCGAATGTGAGGTAGCCATCTCCAGATACGTCGCTGTTGATCATTCACTGATCGTGTGGCTTGAAAAATTCATGTTAGTGTATGGAGTAATGTTCTGCGGCACCTTGTTATCCGCAGTGATCTTCAGGACCTGTGGATACCGGAATCCTAGTAGGAAGTCATGTAGTGTAGCGATACAGCACTGCTAGTCTGCTGCGGTATCGTGGAGCTTTGCAAATGAAGAGCTTGGGAAACCATCGACCTACAGGCTACAGTCCCGTTTTGAATGTTGACCTGGATAGATGAATGGAAGGGTCATGCGGATTCCAGATGTGGTTGAACTCTGAGATGAAGAGACCAAAGAAATGTGATGAGTGCCAAGGACTTTTGCTAGACTTTGAGTCTGGGCCTGTTCCTGACTTGTTGACCTGTTTCCCGGGACTCCTGAACGTGGAGGTCTCAGAATTGTCATCTTGGCATGTGTGGCTCGAATTCCCATCCCATCCACGCCGTCTTCTTTGTGTTGCCAGGACCCTTCCACCTTCGTGCTTTCCACGCGGAACAATAACAATGCGGGCAAGCTACCTACCTTACGCTTGGAATCTCAAGGCTAGACACCCTTCAATCGCCACCCTCACAGCCCAGGCCAGACCTTCTCCAAGTACAGCTCAGGTGCCACAGTGCCGTGGTACCTTACTTCTTAGACTGCGGTCGTGAATCCGCAGAGTTACTGCGTAGACACGCCTCTGACTCTCCACATGGCGTCTCTTACATCAGCAACAATAATCAAGCCCCAGTACTCCGTACCCTCCCCATTACCTCAATGTGCAAATCGTCTACCGTAGTATAGTGTTTCGACTACCAGCCGTGCCAGCCACATCGTCCTCTTCCCAAAACAAGATGGCGAAGGGGCTTGGAGGGGTCGGTACACGACCTCCTAAGGTAGAAGGGAACATACTGCGGTATAGCTATGGTACGGTGGGTCCTTCCAATTGGGCTCAGGTCTGCCCTGCTCTGCTAGCGTCTGCCCTCCACACTCCCGCTCCCACTTCCACTCCCACCACTTCGTCGCTGTCGTGCAGACAGAGTGACAGACAAACACAGACACCCCAACCCTCACAGACCTCCACCAAAATCCCTCCCTCCTATCAACGCTCAGATATTATCACGATCTACCTGCTCCATCCCCATCCGGTCGGTCCTCTTCTCCAACTTGTCTTGTCAACCCCGAATTTCGACCGCTCCAGACGATCCGCCACTCTGATGAAATCGGTACGCCTCATCCTCGCCCTCGTTGGCTCAGGAGCGAACGGTTCTTCAGACCTCAGACAAACTTCAGACTTCAGCCTTTAGCCATCAGGACTTCTATTCTTTCTTGCAGCTGCCCTTGTCGGAGATTCATATCTCAACCTGCTGGCAACACCGACCCTTCGTGACCATACACAGCGCTTTAGGAGGGCCTGAAGCTACCCCATCCCTGATTTGGCCGAATGACGTCCTCTACACCACCTGAACCCCCCCGGCCCTCAGGAAGATCACCCTTGGGTTCCATCTCGAATTTAGATGTTCAATCTCAGCAATGCTGGATTCGAATCCACACGTCCCCAAGAAGAATCAAGCAATCATGTACGGGGTTTCTCAGATGCTACGCTTCGAGGTCGCAATGTGCCTCAATGTGCTAGGTAGTCCCCACGATCCAACTTCGGCCAAACCAAACAACCAGCTCAAGATGATATGCCTGCGCGCCTACCGACGCCTATCCGTACGCCCCATTCCGTTGGCGCCGCTGAAACCCGAGCTAGTGGCTCTTTAGAGGCTTCGTACTTTTCCCCCCTTCGCCAGGTATTGTCAGAGTTCAATTCAAGTCTTGTCCAAACAAGAAGTACTGGCTACAGGGGTCGCAATCGGGGCGCCATCCCGTACAGATCCGGTCGTCGTCGACGAGAATCCACCACACTTGACTGTGAATCTGCAGCAGGCGAGGCACCAGGGCTGCAGGGTGGTCTGGGCCAGCCGGAACAAACACGGATCAAGGCCAAACCGATGCAGGCTTGCAGTACTGGCTCCTGGTCCGTCTCCGGGGTCCCTTGGCCGCTGCCGCCCTGCTGTGGCCGTTCCTGGTGGAACCCACGGCCGACCAGGTGGGCCATGGCAGGTTGACGGCGGCCTTCTTTGGCACTTTGCTGAGATGCAACACAAGCAACGGTGTACGCAGTACTCCGTAGACACTGACGTGATGAGGATGAGATTCCACCACATATCTGAGGCGCCAAACACGGTAGCACCGTAGTAGGGTTACAGGGGATCAGCCGCAGGCGGCCAACCACCTTTCATGATGCCTCTTGGAATGCCTCTCTGCGGCGGACACACATGGCCGCAAGATCACCTGCTATTGCCTCCTAGGATGGGATGGTGTTTGCGATATCGTCGATGCACCATTCATAGAACGGCGAGTGCCTATCCCGTTTCTTCGCCAAACGTTGGTGTTCTTTCTAGCTCGCTGCTGGAATGCGGCTGTAGTACTCATACCGAACCGATGGCCAAGAATATGTCTGGATAGACCACGGCATGCCACTAAATGCAACGGCGGACCTCTGGGTTCTACACACGTTTGGCACCCGGAACGTTTATTGCCCGCCCGCGCCTCAACAACATATGCCACACCACGGAGAAGCGCACAGTCGAACTCGGCCTCTCTGGCTTTAATTCGATACCCATGTCTTTACAGACTCGACAGAAATTGGTCAATGTCAACGGCTCACCAGAATATCATGGCATCCTCGTACAAAAGTATTTTAGTCTGGGCACGGCGCATAGGTACCCACTCGCACCGGGAGAGTCTCGGAAGTTGCCTCTGGTTGCGGATCCACTGGGCTTCCGGCTCTCCCACTTGATCCCCCCGATTCATCCCTGATTAGGCGCATGCCCCATGGCCACCACCCCTTCGACTTCTTGGTCCACATTCTGGCGTGGATGCCCAGTGCCCCCCGGCTCCCACCCACTTTGTGATGGTGAAGGCATCCACATCTGTTCGCACTGCCATCGTGGGTCTTGGGCTGGGATGGCACTGGAGAACCTTTCATCTGCAGCGGTCACCACCAAAGACCAAGGGCAGCCCTAGCTAGCTATCTAGAGTGCTAGACCAGAGTCGGCGAGAACCCAACCGTCGAAGACGGGTCGTAGAGACGCGAGGATCAATTTGGGTCTGTTCATGGCCGAAGAGGGCGAGTGGAGGATTGACTGCTGACCGAACGCGGTCCGACAAGTGTGCTTACGAGGATCGCAAACAGCTCAATGATATCAACTGTCTCTTGCCGTGGACGTTGAGTCAAATGGACTGCGATCGATGCGTTCGTTGGCTATAGTGAATCGTGGTATCGATCATACAACCAGACATGTTTGTCGTTGGGCCGCTGAATGTAACGTCCAGGCCGACTTCAGGGACTTGACGGTGGAAGTCTATTTCTCAGGTATCACCATATTGGTGGGTGTGTTTTTACTATGGAAGAGACAAGCTGGGTTGTGCCTTTCCTTTTTTTGTTGCCGCGCGCCCTTCATATCTGGCAAAAAAAAAGTCCGACCTCGATATGGAACCTCGGTCTATCTCCCACTTTTGTCCTGTTCACCCTCCCGGAGCTTCCAAACCCTCCTCTTTCCATACAGGCATATGAAGATATGAGACACCTGAGTCGGGTTGCAGGGACTGGGCTTGTTGAAGCTGGCAGTGTAGGTGGTTGTGTGGTTTGTAAGTGAAGCTCAGTTCTGGCGGTATGATGTTTGTACCATCTTAGATACGTTGTATTTCGATGGAGTTGGCTCCGACTTTGTGTTTGTGTCTGTTTATGCAGCCTCTCTATCCGAACCTCGAAATATTTTTATAAAGCCCCACGCCCACTCTCAATTGGGTTGGGACGAGTACTGATACCTCGTCTACTCTGTACGGCATGACGGATATCTCCTGCGCGCTTGAAAAGCTTGGCAGATCTTGGAGGCATCGCCCGCACATCTTTGCACACGTCACACTTTTTGCAGTTTATTGTTCTCGGTTATGCTAGCTCGCCTTTGCGACTTGATCCAAACCAACACTTTGTCGCCGAGTCTCAGTGTGAAAGGGCGGAACAAACCTTCCCACGGTCAAAGCCACAGCCACCGCAAGCCTCTAGTGCTGGTACATGGCAAGGTATCCGTCTTCTCCACTCTGCAATTCCACAGCAACACCTGGGCAGCCCGACAAGCCACAAGAGGAGTTACCAGAGAGAGGTTGAGTTGGTGCAGATACATGCTCTGTGGCTGGATTACCTTATTGTGTACATAAGGTTTCTGGGCATCTGGTCCCTCATCTGGAAATCACGAGACGAGGCAAGAGAGCCCACAATCAAACCTGGAGAGAGAGAGAGACACACACAGCCCCACCGTGGAGGACGACGGGGATCTCTATTCTTTCCTTGGGCCGTGCCTGAGAGCGAGACCCCATTGTTGGAACAGTCAGCACCGCTGTGAGCATTCTGTCAGCATCAACAAGCAGCAGGCCCAAGAGACATCCCCTGGCCAGATTCCAGAAGGAGCAACAACGGCAGAACCTTATTTGCCAGCGAATTGGATAGACGGGGAAAGCCTCGGTTGAACACGCCACCAAAGTACTATCGCATGCGAAATACCTAGGTTAGAAGCGGGTAGGAGAGAGAGAAAGTCCAGAGGTGAGTGAGTGCGGCACTTACCGAGCCTACAGAGAGCACCTTGGCTGCATTGAGTGTGCACTTCGCAAAAATCAAATACCTACATACATACCTACCTTATGGATAGATACTAAAGAAAGCGCAGGCGTAGACGCAGAACCATAAGCAGAAGCAGACGCAGACGCAGACGACAGACGCACATCTCAAGTGACCTCGACGACCGTCACAGCGTCACCCGCCTAACTCCCCCCGGCCGTGTTCCAGCGAAGCATCCACGCACCCACGGCACCCCACAATTTGACCGCCGAAAACGCTTCCGATCCCCCATTGCTTGAGCCCCCCCTGCAAGTTGAGGTGCGGTGCAGCGGTGCTGAGAAGTTCAAGAAGAAGTGTGGGAAAAAAAAAAGGTCTCCAACTCTTCTCCCACCTGCACGCCGTGTACCTACGCCCCCCGCGCCTGGCAGTGGACCACGCAGTATACGCCTGCAACCTGCAACTCCACAGCTGCGCCCACTTGGATTGGTGCATCCGCGGCCCTTCCAAGCAATCACAGGTCGCCGATTACCACACCCCCCCTTTACATCCTTCCATTCTCTGTGCGACGCCCCCCCTCCCCCTCCCCGCCCGGCCGTCCCTCCCCAACCCCAGTTTTTGCTGCACGAACAAGCCGGCGACATTCCCCATCACCCATCTTTCTCCTCTCTGAGCAGTGAGCATCATAAATCTGCTCCGCTGGTTTGGTTTGGTCTTTTTTTGCCCTTGACCACCTAGGTAGACCTGGACCTTGACCTAGACCTAGACCCAGTCTTGCGCCCCTCTGTGTCTCTGGTAGGAGGTTTTTTTGTTTTATTTTTTGGTTCTCTACGGTATTTGCTGCTCGATGAGTGGCCGAGTCAGAGTTCCTCTTCTCCGACAAATCTCGACCGGACGCCTCTTCTCCTCTCCGCCCCCCGCCCACCCTTCCAGCCTCCCAGTCCCGGTTCTTTCTTAACTTTGTGCTACTGTCGCCAGCTTTGTGGAACATTCCCCTTCTTATCCTCTCGAGAACACTAGACGGCACGACAACATCTTCATCACCGACAGCCAAGACGTGCGCACGCGACCTGATTGATTATTACTCGGCCTCGACATCAATACCAGCCATCATCACAGAGGTCTTTCCGCCGCCTGGTGCCTCTTCCTTGCGACCGCTGTGACCCTCTTCCCCCACTGCTCCAACTCACACTTACACCGGTGACCGCGGTCCAAAGGCATAAACAGGGACAGGGACGAACGCCGTCCTCAGCGCCGGCGTTGTGCGGGGAGCCAGCTTGCCAGCTCGCTCGGCACCGTCTTCTTCCACTGTCGCCTCTCCGTTGATCATCCCCTTGATTCGTGCATGACAAAGGACAATGTCATCTAGCCTGCAGCAGCTCCAAAGCCAACAACTCAGAGCTGTCAGTCTCGAATATTCGCAGCAGCACCCTCATGCCCACGCTCTCGACTCGCCCGGCGCTCATTCTCATATAACCACTTCCTCAGCGTCCCACCAACCCTTCTCCTCTGGAACCCCAAATGACGGTATGCGGTCCAACAGCGCGAACCACAGCGTCGTCGATGCCTCCCATTTTGCCGACGACTTTTCTTTCCCCCCGAACCCGCTGGACGACCAAAGCGCAATGATGTTCCTCGGCGAACCAGATCACGCTGCCGACATGTTCCCGACCTCGCATCGCCCCTCCGTCTCCTCCATCGGTGGCCGCCAAAACTCAATAACAGTCATGCCTGTCGGTTTTGCGCAGGCCATGAACCAGCGCCGCCATAGCATCATTACCTCGGAAGATGGCAGCCAGGACAGCGGCCACGCCGAGCACAATCCACTCGAGGATGCCGGTGCCGATGAGTTTGGCCTACCTACGCAAATCGCCGGCAACGGGTCCGACCTGGGCGGCAAATCCAAGGACGACAAGACAGACCAGACGCCCGCATGGAGCGAGTTGAAGACCAAGGCCGGCAAAGAACGAAAGCGACTTCCTCTAGCGTGCATCGCATGCCGACGTAAAAAGATTCGATGCTCGGGAGAAAAGCCGGCGTGCAAGCATTGCCTTCGATCACGGATTCCCTGTGTGTACAAGGTGACAACCAGGAAAGCCGCGCCCAGGACCGACTACATGGCCATGTTGGACAAGCGACTGAAGCGTATGGAGGAGCGCATCATCAAAATTGTGCCGAAAAACGAACAAGACTCCAATGCGGCGTCGCTGACCCGAGCCGTGGTTAAACCGGCAATTCCGGGATCACTCCCCGCAGCTAAAGCCAACTCCAAGAAGCGAGTTGCCGACGAAGCATTTGGTCAGGATCTCGACCACTGGGCAAAAGCGCCGGCCAAGACGAGAATTGAAACGCCAAACAAGAACTTGTCGTTGCAAGCGCAGGAAGCGGAGGAGAACAAGCTCTTCCTGGAGGGGCTCGATGCACTTCCGTCCAAGGAAATCCAGGAACATTTAGCCGAGGTATTTTTCGAGAACATTTACGGCCAAGCATACCACCTGCTCCACAAGCCCAGCTACATGAGAAAACTCAGGTATGTCTTCTCTCGTGAGAATGTACTCATGATTCAACTGCTGACTTTGAACACGCAGAGCTGGCACGCTTCCGCCAGTACTCGTACTGTCCGTTTGCGCGATAGCCGCCCGCTTTTCCAGCCACCCGAAACTCAACAACTCATCACCAAACTTTCTCCGTGGCGAGGAGTGGGCGTCGCATGCCCGGGACATCTGCACCAGGCGATATGAGTGGCCCAACATCACGATCCTGACGTGTCTACTTATCCTCGGCCTTCACGAGTTTGGGACGTGCCATGGCGGTAGGAGCTGGGCTTTAGGAGGCCAAGCAATCCGCATGGCCTTTGCTCTACAACTTCACAAAGACTTGGACCACGATCCCCTGAATCGCAGCGGAGCATCGCAGCTGAGTTTCATCGACCGCGAGATCCGGCGCCGGACAATGTGGGCATGCTTTCTCATGGACCGGTTCAACTCCTCCGGTACCGAACGACCTACCTTTGTGAGGGAAGAGACGATTGAAATTCCGCTACCGATCAAAGAAAAATACTTCCAGCTCGATATGCCAGCCCCGACGGAAACCCTCAAGGGCAAGGTCCCTCATCCCGTGTCTGCTGAGGATGGTCAAATGGCCGATGCGAAAGAGAACATGGGCGTTGCCGCTCACATGATCAAGACCATCTCTCTCTGGGGTAGAGTCATCAACTATCTGAACCAAGGAGGAAAGGAGCTCGACCCCCATCCCATCTGGAGCCCCGAATCTGAGTACACCAAGTTGCTGCAGCAGTCCGAAGACCTGCTCGACAACCTTCCAGAATTTCTTCGTTACTCACCCGAGAACGTCGCGCTCCACGATACGGAAAAGATGGCGAACCAATTCTTGTTCCTCCACATCGCGATGCAGCAAAACGTTCTCTTCCTCAACCGAGTTGCCGTTTCAACGCCAAACAGCCCCGCTGCGCAAGGCGTTCCTCGGGAATTTGTCGCCAAGGCAGGCGACAAGACGTTTGCAGCCGCCAACAGGATTTCCGAGGTCCTCAAAGACGCCGAGTCTCACATGGTGACTGCCCCCTTTGTCGGCTATTGCGCCTTTTCGTCTGGGACGATCCACATACTCGGCATCTTCTCTGGCAATCCTGCTGTCGAGGCAGCGTCGAAGCGAAACCTGGCGACAAATGTCAAGTTTCTTTCAAAGATGAAGAGGTATTGGGGCATGTTCCACTACATGTCTGAGAACCTCCGTGAGCAATACAGGACATACGCCGATGCCGCCAGACAGGGCAATTCGGCAAAGGAGACGTCAACGGCTTCCCCCATCTTCCAGTACGGCGACTGGTTCGACCGATACCCCCACGGCGTTTCACAGTCCGACTTTTCCGACCCAGCATCTACGAAGAAGAAGGAGAAGGGCGACGACGCCGTGTTGGAGCAGAAGCCAGAATTACACACCGTGGAGGAATACTTTACGAGTTTGTCGCCACCTCGCAGCACAGAAGGCAATTCGTCAAGGCCAAACCCGCTCAAGCGCAAGTCTTTCGTCGGGAAGAAACTCGGCACTCCGGGCATGCGAGCAGATGGAAGCCAACTGGAACCACTCTCCACCGAGAACGTTGCTGCCACGGCGCAAGAGCAACTGAGTGCCCGCATGCAACAACAGAGAGGCATGCAGCAAGGCTCGCTCGGCGGCCAGACAAGCGGACCGACCAGCTTCAATCCCCTCACCGTGCCGCATTCGCAAGGCTCCAATTACCACGCCCTATCTCCCATCAGTCCCATCGCCGTCAGCCAGTACGGGCACCACCACCCGGGCACACCGTCGTTCTTCTCTCCCGACTTGCTCAACATGTCGATGAATCAACAGAACGGCATCTTGCAGCCCCTGGACCGGCAGCTCGTGTTTGGCGGGTACTCCATGGAACAGGGCAACATGAGCCACTTTGACGGCATCGACTGGGACGGCATGCCGAGTAGCGCCCACAGCGCACCGGGAGCGCACAGAGACGGTGCCCGCTCGCGTCCCTCGCGCGGCGGTCCCAATGGCATGGGCGGGCCCGGCCACGGACACGGGGAGGGTATGGGGTTCGGAGGCCAGGAGGCGTCGACGGCGTGGTTCATGCCGTTCAACATGGAGCCGCCGGAGATCGGGCAGGATATGGGTATGAATATTGACGGGTTCGGCAACATGTTTGGCAGCGGGTTGCATCACGGAGCGCGATGAGCTTTGTTGTAGAAGGTGTCTTGTCAACCCTCTGAAGCATTGTATTAACTTTGCATTGTACATCTTGTCTCGGAGAATTGTCTTCTCCATTTTCCTTTTTCCAAATTTATGACGTATATGAAGGGAAAAAAAGACGGATGGGCATGTCATGGCACGGGAACATGGACGGGAGAAGGGGGGAAAAGGAGACAAAATCTCATGCGGTCTTAGCTAGCGATTGATTCTTGCACATTTTCTTCTTGTGAGATACCACCACCGAAACTCCTAATGCAAAATATCAAGGAAGATATCTGCAAACTATAATGTCCCTCCTCAACTAGATAACTTTTGGTGTGAAACTTGCAACCGGGAGATCCAAATCTGTACATGGTATCGTTGTGGTCTAAATGAACTACTACTTTTCTCTTTTCTGTACCCGAACGAATCCTTTCTATGCAAACAACGACATGAAACAACACCACAAGTTTCTTCCTCTCCTCTACTCACTCCGCGGCAACACTCTCGTCAGCCTTCTTCTTCCCCCTAGACCTCTTCCGCTTCTTCCCGCCGTCGAGCGCGGCACCGCCATCCTCGACGTCCTCGTCTCCCTCCCCACCGCCCTCGCGCTTCTCCTGCACGGCGCGCTTCGCACCCCTCTTGCGCCCCTTCTTCTCCCTGACCTCCACGTCCTCCAACCCGAACGTCGGCCCCGTCCTCTCGAACTCCTCCCCGAAGTGCTCCCGCCGCCACTGCCTGAGCCTCGCCTTCTTGCCCAGCCGCTTCTTGTCCTTGCGCTTCTTGTCCTGGTCGCGGAAGGTGGCGAGCTTCTTGAGGCCGGCGAAGCTGTTGAGCGCCGCGTCCGAGGGCGCGAGGAGGATGTCGCGGGCCGTCATGCCGAAGGCCTGCGGGGAGGTCTCGCGGTAGCGGAAGGCGGGGACCTCGTTGGCGGCCGCGGCTTGGGTGGCGGATTTGTGGAGGGACGAGGAGCCGGGGATGTCGGCGGCGTCGAGGTCCATTTTGGCGTCGACGAGGGCTTCGAGCTTGGCGCGCTGGAGCTTTGCTGCTTTCTTGGCCGAGAGGCGGTCTTTTTTGACGTCTTTTGTGGTTTTGCGCTTTTTGGAGGGGCGGGAGTCCGAGTCTGAGGCTGAGTCGTCGTCTGAGGCTGCTGCTGCTGCTGCTGCTGCTGCTCCTTCGTCGTCGGAGAGTGTGATTTGCGGGGTTTCCGTGTCGTCCTTGAAGTCGGGGATGATGTCGTTGATGTCGATGTCGTCGTCCCACTTGGGCTTCCTGGGCTTGCTCTTCTTCTTCTTCGTCTTGCCGTCTCCCGCCGCATCCTCCTCGTCGTCCGACTCGGCGCCGCCCTCGACCTCGGCGTAGTACGCCTCGCCGAAGCGGCGCTTCATCTCGCCCTCCCACCGGTCGTCGTCCCACGCGTCGTTCAGGAAGCGCAGCCACTCGTCGTCCTTGAGCTCCTCGCCCCGCAGCCCGGCGGCGTGCTTGATCTTCCTGAGCTTCTCCTCGGCCTCCTCGAGCTTGAGCCTGCGCAGCCTGGCCTTTTCTTCCTTGCGCTCCGCCTTCTCGGCCTCCTTCCTCTCGCGCTCGGCGTCGCGCTGCTTGCGGCGCGACGTGGCGGCCTCTTTGCGGACGGAGCGGGCGCTGACAATCTCGCGCGAGTACGTCTTGAGCGCGGCGTTCGATTTGGCGGGGTCCTCGAAGCGGAGGTTGTAGGCCTCCTCGAACTTGTCGTAGAGCTCGCCCTCGTCGCCCTCGCCCTCGTCCGAGTCGAAGGCCTTCCAGTTGTGTTCGCCGCCCTCGGTCCAGGCGCGGGCTGCCATGAAGTTTGACAGAAAGAGCTCCGGGTCGCGGTCGGCGTTTTTGATGTCGTCTTCGGTGATTTGCTTCTTGGTCTTCTTGTTCACCCGCGCCGCGCGGGCCGGGTGCACGCCGTCGACGGCGGGGCCGTCTGCGACCTTGGCGACCTTTTGTCCCGGTTTCCGCTTGACAAAGTCCTCGCCCTCGTCGTCGTCTTCGGGCCCGCCGTCGGCCGCCTTGTTGATCTCCGAGATGATGGACTTCTTGAGGGCGTCCTGCTCCTGGTTGTACGTCTGCGGCGGGGCGGGTGCGTCGTCGTCCTCGTCGTCCGAGGCGCCGACGCCGCCTGCGAGGATCTTTTCGCGGTGGTAGTCCTTGAGGAACATGGGCTTCTCCTTCTTCGTCTTGGAGGGCGTGGCCTCGCCGGCGGCACCGGCGGCGCCAGCGGCAGCCTCTGGGAAGAAGGAAAAGTTCTTGTCGAGGACGCGGGGGTCCTTGTTCTTGATCGCGCTGAGGGTGGCGGAGATCTGGGCGTCCAGGTCCTCCGTCGCGAGGAAGCCTTCTTCGTCTTCGGTCTCGTCTGAGGAGGACGAGTCGCCGTCAGAGTCGGAGTCGTCGCCGGCATGCTTGCCTTTGCCGGGCTTCTTGAACTTTTCCTCGACTGTGTGATAGCCGCTATCGTTAGAATGCTGCTCCTCATGATATCCCAGAAACAGAAACAATTGGGTTGAACATACGTCTGTGCATCTCCTCGCGCTTTTTGTTGTGCTCGAAGCGCTTGGCGTACTCCTCGTTGACCTTCAGCGTCGGCGCCGCGATGTCTGCCCCTCCATCTTCGCTGTCCGAGTCGCTGTCGTCCAACAGGTTGACCTTCTTAGGAGCCTTGTCCTTCTTGGTTTCCGGTGCCATCTTGACAAAGTTGCTTCCCCTGAAGTAGAAAGTCTATGTGCAAAACACTTCGTCGCAAATGAGTAGGAAGCGAAATCCTGCAAGCCGCGGGATGGGACCCTCCAATCGAAGATCTCAAAGGTGGTCAAGCAACTTTTTTTTTTTTCTGCCGCTTAGCCCAGCAAGCTGCTGCAGGCTGTTTGAAGGACCCCTGCACAGGGTGGGAATCTTGGCGGGGCCTGCCCATGGATGCGGACACCGGCGTATCGATTCTCCGCCGCCCCTCTAACTCAGGTTACCTTACTGCCAGGCGTGCCAGGTGAAGCTGAAGGTGCGAGGGAGAGAGCATTGGCCAGCGGTGCCGGGGGGCGCTTCGTCATTGTTGCGCCTCACCACACCCGTCGTTTCAGTGACCAAGCTGCTGTCCTACCTACCGCTACGAAAACCATCCAACCACCCCCACACCCATCGCGAAGGCAGCAACTTACAACTTTCGTGCGTCCCTGATTCCATCCGAACCGAAACCTGGCATCATTTCCCCACGGTTCGAATCGCAAGAACACTTTGATAGAAAAAACGTACCCGGCTGTCGTTATCGACCTGAACTACCGAGAACAAGATGGACGGATCCGGCGGTGCCCCGAAGCCGAGCAGCAGCGTCAAGCTGGTCCTGCTCGGTGAAGCTGCCGTAGGAAAGGTGCGGCCACCACCATCCGAACCCAACATCAGAGCTCCTTACTAAACAGTATCGCAGTCGTCGCTTGTCTTGCGCTTCGTCAACAACGATTTCCAGGAAAATAAGGAGCCCACTATCGGAGGTACGAACCGCTGCCGTTGCCATCGCAGACAAGACCAGTCCGTTTGAGAGCGAAAAAGAGCTAACCTGTCCACTCCTCTCGCCCCCTTGCAGCCGCCTTCTTAACACAAAAGTGCAACCTTCCGACCCGGACAATCAAGTTCGAGATCTGGGATACCGCCGGCCAGGAGCGCTTCGCCTCGCTGGCGCCCATGTACTATCGCAACGCCCAGGCCGCCCTCGTCGTCTACGACCTCACGAAGCCCACCTCACTCGTCAAGGCCAAGCACTGGGTGGCGGAACTTCAACGACAGGCCTCTCCGGGCATCGTCATCGCCCTCGTCGGCAACAAGCTCGATCTGACAAACGACGCCGAGACCGGATCCGCCGGCGACAACGAGGAGGCCGACGGAGAGGACTCTGGCGACGCTAGAAAGGTTTCGATGGAGGAGGCCAAGACGTATGCCGAGGAGGAGAGCCTGCTCTTCTTCGAGACCAGTGCCAAGACGGGCCACAACGTCACTGAGGTCTTCACGGCCATCGCCAACGCCATCCCCGAGACGTCGTTGAAGAGCGCGCGGGGTCCGGGCGCATCGCACGCCGTGAGCCGCGGCGCAGAGGACCAGCAACGGGTCAACCTCACGGGCTCGAGGGATGCGGCGGCGAAGGAGGGGTGTGCCTGTTAAAGTTGTAGAATGGGGAAATTGCGCGTTTGTGTAACATCTCGAGAAAGGATGATTATCGTTTTTTTGCAAAGGAGGGATTCCTTTTTTTGGGCCGTTTTCCCAACCTCCCCCTTCATCATTTTGGAGTCGATCAGTTTTTATGCGCTGCATTTCTGCTATAGGGTTTCATTTATGGGAGCGTCCATCCGGCAGTAAATGGGAAGTTCGTCATGAGTCGAAAATCAGACACAGTCGCTTTGCACCACTTCACACGCCGACTCCTCCGTCGTGGTGTACAATGGTTCTACTTGTGCTGGCAAAGTTCGCAGAAGAAGACATTGGGAAGGATCGCGGATCGGTTGGGAGCTGATGCTTCGTAGTGCACTATGTAGACGGAATTTCATACGTTCAAGAAGATTTACGGCACCCTCTGGACGCTTTGGATGCTCCGAGGCGTTGATGATAATGACCAGGGATTTGCATCACCCCATGCTGCCATTCCTAGAGTGCCGGATGCATAGGTGCAATTGGCCAGTGGGCGAGTAATGCACCGACCGATCAGGCAGTGGGCAGACCAACGCTGCACAGCAGACCTGGTGGCTGGATCAAGCAGACAAGGTACAGACCAAGGTGCTGTAAAACACTGTAAAACCAGCAGGCCGGGGAAGGTGAATGAGCGTACCTGGTTGGTCAGTCACCGCCCACGCGTCCCACTCTTTTTCTGGCCCTTCCCGCGCCTCGTCCACCTCAAACTGCTCCGTCACTTCAGAATCTTTTTCACGACCACCTGCTCCTTTGCGCAAACAAGCTCAACAACAAGCAACCGTCCGTCATGACAGCGTCTCGCGCGACACGCTGAAACCGTCTCCATTCCTTCTTTCTTCATCCTAATACCAGGTCAGCGGTGACGCGGCCATCTTTTATTGTTGTACTTTCCCAGACCCCTCCTTCGCCCATGTATCTCTCTTCTTGATATTCCTTTTCCTCCACAACGACGACAGCATGGCTGTCCACCTCACCCCGGCCCAGGTCGAGCTCATCAAGCAAGTCTCCCGCTCCCTTTTCTCGACTGCAATTCGTCTCAATCGCAATGCTAACCTTGTCTCTCTAGCTCACTTGCGCCCGACGACATTCCGATTAAGCTGCGATGCGCCAGCTGTAGCAAGCCCGCTGTCAACGCTTTCCGCCTTCCCTGCTGCGAGCAAGCCATCTGTGAGACTTGTCAGTCATATGGCTCTCACCTTCGCCTCCATGTGCAGCTTCTGACCAATCTTTCCAGGCCAAAGTTCTCTCCCATCATCCTGTCCCGTTTGCGAGCATTCACCCGTGTCCGCCGACGACTGCACGCCGCTCAAGTCGCTCCGAACCACGATCAAGGTTTTTATCCGAACCCAAGAGAAGAAGCGCGACGAAGCCCGATCGAAGAGTGCAAAGGACTCGGCACCCCCTACTCCAATCGATGCGAAGCCGAATGCGCAGATCGCTGGCCCCGATGAGACCCCAGCCGCCGATACACCTTCACAACCTGCTGCGATCCCCGACGAACGCGAGGAGAGCGCCGTTGCCCAACCTGCGCCAATTGGAGATGCCAGCACGGCCGATGTTGCGGATGCAGACGCCAACGCGGCACAAGACCAAAACGTTGGTGTTCCGATGACGACCCTGTCAGTATGACGTCTTGCTAACCAGCCGGTCAGGATGCGCCTAACCATGACGAAGAGCCCACCATCTCTAAGGGAGAAGACGACGATGACGAGACAGTCATCATCACGGGCGATGAGACCGCGGCCGATGGCAGCAAATTAGCGAGACCTCAGGAGGAAGAGGGTGCTGCGGATAACGACGGCGCAGAGGGCGACGACGCGAATGCGAGCGGCAACGCCAATTTCAACGGAATGAACGGAGGCAACTTTCAGAATATGAACTTCACTGGGAACGGTGACTTCAATCAAATGCAGATGATGATGGCCATGCAGAACGGCATGGGCTCCAACTCGTTTGGCAACTTTCCAATGATGGGTAAGCCATCCCTCCACTTTCCCGCGTCACTGGCTGAGGCTAACCACACCAGGTATGCCAGGAATGGGTATGGACCCAATGGCGATGCAGAACATGTACATGAACGGCGGCTATGGTGCTCAAGGCATGGGCATGGGAGGCTTCAACGGTGGTTTCGGCTCAGGCTCCAATAACTGGAACGGGCAACAGTCATGGAATTTCGGCCAAGATAATTTCAATTCTGCTAATGCTGCTGGCATGGGATCTGGTGACTATGGCAACTATAACTCAGGATTCCAGTCAGGGTACAATCAAGGTAATTATGGTCACCAATTCAATGATTACCGCCGCAACAATTACGGCAACCGTGGACGAGGAAGGGGACGCGGCTTTTACAACGGTGGCTATGGTCGAGGCGGATACCAACAGTATGGCGGCTATGGTGACCAGAGCCACGCGCAACAACAGTATGGAAACAACATGTACGGCCAGGGGTCCGAGGATGGAACCCGCGCCGCAGGAAATGTTGACGAGTTTGGCCGCGAGCGCCCAAATGACCAAGACGCGACTTCCAATGCAGGAGGCGGCGACAACGCAGAGAACGGTGGCGGGTCCAGACCCGCGGATGAAGGCGGGGACGAGCAGGGCCAGGCGGATCAGGAGAACGCTATGAATACAGACATGGCACAGGCATCAGGTGACTACTCTGCGTACAACGGGAACGGCATGCCGGGAGGTTATGGTCCTCAAGGATTCGCGCCTGCAGCTCCTGATGTTCCTATAAATGCTCCGACAGGTCCCAAGGCTATGCGTCAGGGCTTGCCGAATACAAGTTTGCACACCTTGCGAGCGCGAGGATACGTTGTACCTGATGAGAGAGGCCGACAGTCGTCGGTGGACGCACTCGCAATTCAGAGTCCCGTCGTGGACCAACAGCAGCAACAGCAACAGCAGCGATCCAGAAGTAACTCGTCGACGCGCACCAAGGATAAGGACAGGAGCCGTCGCCGAGATGCGAGCCGTGATCGTGAGAGAGAACCTGACGTCAGGTCGGAGAGAGACCACGGCGTAAGAGAACGAGACTACTCACGCTCACCTTCACGCAGCAGAGACCAGAGTCGCGAGCGCAAGAGCGAGCGCGGCGGCGGCGGCGGCGGCGACCGAGATCGGGATCGTGACCGCGGCGACCGCCACCGGCGCCGGCGCAGACGTTCGGAATCGAGATCTGTCGTTGACGATCGAGACGATGAGTATCGTCGCAGGAAGCATAAGAGCAGAAAGCACACCTCATACAACGATGAAGACGACGTCAAGTCCCGTTCCAGAGACGATGGGCACGAAGAGAGGTCCAGGTCGGCCTCGCCCAGCGACTCGAAGCGGTCTAGCCATAGGAGCCGCAGAGACCGCGATGAGAAGCGCCGCGATCGGGAGAAGGACAACAAGCACCGGGACGACGACTACGATGACTACCACAGAAAGTCCAGCCACCGCTCGCACAGAGAGAGGGAACGCGACCGAGACCGGGGAGATCGGGACAGGGATCGGGAACGGGAGCGCGATCGCGACTACGACCGTGATCGGGACCGCAAGGACCGCGACCGCGAGAAGGATCGGAAGCGCGACAAGCACAGGGACCGGGAGCACCGTCACCGCAGCAGCCGGAAGCAATCAGCGGAGCCGCCCACGCCTGTCGACAGGGACTTTAATCCGCCCACCGGCCCTCGTAGCGGTGGCCCCGGTCTCGAGATCAAGGGTGTGGGCTCAAAGTCTGGCAGGTCGTCCGACAGACAGGACGGCGGACGCCGAGACTCCCAAGCCTCGGTCAACAGCAAGTCCGCGCCCAGCGTCCCCACAAAAGATGCTCACGCCCTGGAGCGCGAGGCACGGAATCGCGAGCGTCTGCTGAAGGAGACGCAGCGCATGGCTGGTCTTGCGGGCCTGGCGGGCGCGAAACGCAGCAGAGATGAGAGTAGCGGGGGAGGAGGTGACGACGGCAAGCGAAGCCGGCGGAAGGGGCGTCGTAGCGAGGCTATTAACATCGACGAGGAGGAGGAGCGGATGCGTCGCATGGAAGCTGAGCGCGAGGGCAGTCGTTGGGGCTAGAAGCCCGGCGGTCGGCCTCGTGCTGGTGGTGCTGCCGGTTCGCGTGCGACGGAGGAGACGATTGGCAGGCTTGGTCGTCACAATGTTCGACCTACCAGGTCTCGGAGGGCGGATAATCGCGCCGATCACTACTGAGCAAGGAGAAGAAGTTACTCCGGCTCAAAGGTTTGAAGGGAAGACTCCAGTATCGCGAGTCGGGGTTCGCTCTTCTGACTATTATCCCGGATCAATTTGGCCCTTCTTGGCGAATTCCTTTTCCGTCGCGAGGAAAGACTCACTCCGAAGAAATGGAGGAGCAAAAGAGCAAAAGGGAAGAAGGGGTGATGGCGAGTTGTGGGACCACACAAAAGGTAGACTTATTACGCTTCAGTAGCCGGCATGGGCTGTTATAGAGTCTCAACACAACCCTTTGACATGGTGAATCCTCTCTTCAGTAACTGTGGTGAAGTTCTCGTGAAATGTGTTGCAAGTGAAACGGGTGCTCATTGAAGCTACCTATTGAGGAGCCACCGGAATAGCGAAATCGGCTCAAGGAACCCCTTCCCTGCTTCAATTCCCACGATGCTTTCCAACGCCTGTTACCGATAGAATGTATATTCTGTAAAGTGCATGTGATCGCTGTTGTATTACAACTCCTGCTTGGGCTTGGGCTCCCTGAAGCGATATGGTCGCCGAGGATTTTCGAGAGCCCCCAAGGCCTCTGCTTGGCAATCTCTATTGAACTCGAAATTGATCAGGCGAAACTGGACAGTCACCGCATTTTGAGGGTCATCAATTGAATAGAGAGTTTGAATCTGTCGTTTCATGGCAAACCAAAGGTCTCCGTCGGATACGTGTGCAAACTCTGGGGTGTGGCGAGCCTCTGCCCAGCCCGGCAGAGGGTTGGATCCTGCTTCACTCATTTCGTCCCATGCCTGTTCAACCAAAAGCTCTCCGTCTTCTGCAAGCCAGGCTCGAGTGGTCGCAATCGTGAGTGATCTGAAGCCGTGTCTAAATTCGGCGGGTATTGTCAGTGCCGCGAGGGCTGCGCGAAGCTCAGCTCTGTGCCTCACAGGCGTGCGAAGGTCGCCGTATGGGCCCAACCTCTCTAGGCGTCCAGTAACGGCTCCTCCGAGGTGGTAGGGCTTGAAGAGGTATGCCCAGCTGCCGGTCCGGGTCTCTGGACGACAGAGGCCTTGGATGTAAATGAGAAAGTCCGTGTGGTCATGAATGTTTATAAACCGCGTTGCAAGTCGTCCACCAGCCGACTGGTATGGCCTCTCTGGGTACTCGAACTCCGGATACTGAATGCTCGGACAATCCAGTATTGGACTGATTTGCATTTTCGGACTGCGTTCGTGATCGGCAGATGAGCCATCAGAGAGTCCTGGACAGCTGTTGAGGCTCCAGTCTGATGAATCGTCATCTGACATGGGGAAATCAAGCTCTCCTTCGATATCACTCAGCGCGTCGTCATTGTTGTTAGACACATAGGGGTCTCCGAGTTCTGGACGCCGGCCAGAGTAGAAGAAGTAGATCGGTCGTCGTGCGCGTGCGAGATCGGTATCACTTGGTCCTTCCCTCGGCGGCCGGGGCATAGGCCTCAGAGATCTGAGGTACTCCGCTGCGTGGGCGTCGCGGGGCTGCGGGCAGTCAACACATTCAATTTCTCGGTGTTCCAAACATCGGATGATGAATCGAGTACCATCGCGTGGACGTCTCATCGTGTACACTTCCTAGTTCTCGACTGGGGTCCATCGGGTGTCCGATGCTCGCGTGGACGCGGAATTGCCGGCAGGGACTGACATGATGTATGTTTGTGATGGCTTTCAATAATGTATTTGCTGGTTAACTCGAAAGAGGCATCGATGAGTTGGGTTATTAGGGCAGTTGTCAAGAGAACCACTAACGGGGATGATGTTGGGAGACGAACAGAGATGGCATTTCTATTACAGAACTTGCCCGTCAAATGTTCAATCGGCATGTGTTCTTAGAAAGTCCACGGGCAGTGCCTACCTCGTGTAAGTCTCAGGGACGGCGATTACATACTCGCGATCCTTCCCAATGTGAGACCATCGCAGTTTTACACAGCTGGTGCGGCAGGTACGGGAGGTCAAGCACTTGTTAAGTTAGACTTGGGAAGTCCCATGCCAGCTCACCTATCATTGTTTCCATTCTTCAAATCTACAAACTACCCTATCATACGGAAAGGCCCATCACACGTCTAACGTCTAGCTCGAGCCTTCCATTCCTCCGATATAACTATTACGAGGGCGAGCTTGCCTACAGTTCCAAGCACGACATGACGATGGCGTCGACTCTCATCCTCACCAAGGAACAGCCCCATCTCTATCTGAAAACATTCCCGACACAGTACTCCCCTCCTCCAGCGTAGCCATCTCCACAATCCTCTTCGCCCCCAACTCAGTCGAAGCAGCGCCATGGCTAGCCAACAGATCCTTCCCCATAAACGCCGTCAGCTTCGTCTCAATCAGCCCCGGGCACACGGCATTCGCAACGCCCCCATCGCCCTTCAACACCCTAGCATAGCTGACGGCCAACATATCGACCGCAGCTTTGCTGGCATCGTACGCCTTGGCCGCGACGTCATAGAATCCCGCGCTCCCGTCCAGGGCGGCAGCCATGGGTCCCTTGGTAGAACTGACGAAGACGATGCGCGGGAACCGGGCCTTGCGGAGGAGCGGGAGGAGCGCGTCGGTCAGAACGGCGGTGCCGACGACGTTTGTGGCGAAGGTGGACGTCCACTGGTCCCGCAGTGAGAGGTTGTCGTTCATGTTAAATTGCGCGCCGGCATTGTTAACGAGGACGTCGAGCTTTCCAAAGGTTTCGGAGATGGAGGCGACCGCTGCGAGGATGTCGTTGTCGGATGTGAGATCGAGTTGGATAGCGGACGCGGATAGGCCGCGAGACGTGAGGGAGTCGGCTACCTCTTGGCCTGCTTTGAGACTACGAGACCCGATGAAGACGTGGTAGTGGTGAGCGGAAGCTAGGATATCGACAGCGGCGCGGCGGATGCCGCCGTTGGCTCCTGTGATGAGTGCGACTGTCTGGGGGTTCATGTTGCTGGGCTATTTGATGATGCGATGTGAGCGTGTTGATGAGAGAAATATGCAATACTCCTACAACCTCATCGCCTTTATATTTTAGAAGTATCGTGATACTTGGGAATGAGCTCGAATGAATCATAATGGTATTTCTGCATAGAGAAAGTAGAATTGCGAATCAACGTCTCACCAGCCTCCAGCGGTAAGCCTCAAGCTAGATGCACGGTCTTGACGCATTTGACTTATCGAGAAGAGCTCCTATTCCAAGCAATCATCCGATAAGCAGGCGTTCCGAAAGCTCTCCTTACTGCTCTGCCCGCTTGGCATCGTTGGACCGAAGGAAAATGATTGAATAGGCTTCTCTGTACACGGAAACCGAAACCGAGAACCGCTTTTATATACGTTGGGTGTAGTAGTCTTCCCGGATGACCCTTCGCCGCCGGAGCCAAGACCATGGGGATCGGACGGAGTCTCACAACTATCCGTCCGGGCTCGATCCGCTTGTGCGGCCCGCTCAGGGGCAAGATGCCGGCGATTCCAATTGGCGCTGAAGGTAATTCGCAAGTGAGAAACATCACATTTTGGAAAGAATCCAATGTAGTTGAGATTGAAATCGGGCACATGACCGCGGGATATACCTCAAGTGTGCTGTGAACCAAAAGTTCCAAAATCTGTAGTGTGCCTAGGCATGGGTGTCAAGACAGATAACCAATAATGGTGACCTCTGAAGTGAGAATGTTGACGTTGTGTCCGGTGGTCGATCCTATGTGACATACATGACGAGGCGACACGGAATATCTTGGCTGGACGCTTATGAATGAGCAACCTCTGTTGCGTCCAGTCCATCCTGGGGCCAAGGATGGACTCGATGGGCCTCGCCAGGCAACTCGAGCACCATCCTGTTCATTGCCTTCGTAGCGTCTCGTAACCGGTTCCATCGATTGAAAGGGCAGAAGAAAAAGAGTCGCATTTGCCACTATAATCGGCGGTGGGTATCTATCTAACATACTTGCTCATAAACCGCTTGTGGAAGTCGGAGCGCAGGAGATCCTATACGCAAGTCAGCAATCCCATCATCACACCAATTGCGCTCACCCATTATAGGTGTACTTGGACCAAGAGCTGAGGGGGGTGGTAAATACTCACGTTGACAAACTCCTTGCCCTTGCCCTTCTCCTCCGTTCCCCTCGCCTGGTTCTTGAAAACGACATCGTCGTCCCACCGCCTCTTCATGTTGAAATCAGGCTTATTCAACAGTGGGTTACCCAGCGCAATGTCCCTCTCCCGCGCCTCCTCCTCGACCTTGGCCCTCTCCCTCTCTTCTTTCTCCCTCTTCTCCGCCCTCTCGCGTCGAATCTTCTCCATCTCGCGCTGCAGCTCCGCCTCCTCGTCGTCGCTGTCCTCGTCACTATCGTCGTCGTCGTCATCGTCCTCTTCGTCCCCTTCCTCGTCTGAAGATGCGTCAACGTCCCGCGACTCTTCTAATATCCTCCTCCGCTTCGCTTCAAAGTCCTCTTCTGCGTCTGCTTGCGACCCGGCCTCGAGGGCACGCTTTACGCCGCCCGAGGGCGCGTCGGCATCGTCGTCTGCGGACGGGGGAGGCGCGCCGCCGTTCTTTTTGGCAAAGTGGGCAGCCTCGGCGGCGAGGAGCTCGGCTCTGAGGTCGCTAGATTCTTCATCCGCGTTGCCGCCCTGGCCTGCTTGGCGGAACTTGAGTTGGGTGTGCGCTGGGAGGAGGCGTTGGTGGTAGGCCGGGCCGCGGAGAGCTTCTTTGCCTCTGGCCTAGTATGAATTGTTAGTAAGGATAATGATGGTAGTGGGAAAAGCATAATGAAGAACGTACCGGATCGAAGGTGGGACGATGGGCGGTGGTCATCTTGGCAGGTTGCGACGGGTTGTGAGAATTGAAGATTGGTGGATGTTGAAGGAGGCTGAAGGTGTTAATCTGCAGATTGACAATCGACGTTTGGTCCCCCCAGCAAATGCATGCGACGGCGCGCAGCTGGCTGAGTGGGTCCCGCTGCAGGGGAGGCAACACTCTAAGGCTTCGACCGCCCGGCAGAATTTTTGCAAGCGCCCCACCAATGCGATTGACCTCACTGAACACCTGCAGGTGACTATCGAGTCGATGAGATTCTCAGTCTTGAAATTGCTCTCACATTTTACCAATTTCAGCCACCAAGATGCCCAGGGAAGCCGAGCCGTCAGCGAATGAGAAGGCGTTTGTCACACAAGCTCTTAAGGAGAACTTGAGACTTGATGGCCGGGAATTCGACCAATATCGAAAAGTCCAGCTCACTTTTGGCGATGAGTACGGAGTGGCCAACGTCGAACTCGGCAAGACGAGGTCAGTCAACTTATATTATTCTTACACTCGCCAGATTCAGCCTTTGCTAACATCCATCACAGAGTCCTCGTCAAAGTCTCCGCCGAAGTGACGGTGCCCTACTCAGACCGCCCCTTTGAGGGCGTCTTTCAAATCACCACCGAGCTCAGCCCCATGGCCTCCCCGGCCTTCGAGGTTAACCGGCCAACCGAGGCCGAGGTCCTCCTCTCCCGCCTCCTCGAGAAGACAGTCCGCCGCTCGGGCGCCCTCGACACGGAGTCCCTCTGCCTCGTCGCGGGCAAAAAGGTATGGTCCGTCCGCGCCGACGTCCACGTCCTCTCCCACGACGGCAACCTCACCGACGCGGCCTGTCTCGCCGTCGTCGCCGCCCTGCGCCACTTCCGCAAGCCCGACACCTCCAACGAGGGCGAGAGCCTCACCATCTTCACGCCCGCCGAGCGCGAACCAGTGCCCCTGAGCTGGCTGCACAGCCCCTTTTGCGTGACGTTCAGCTTCTACGGCGACGAGGGGGAAATTACGCTCGTCGACGCAAACTGGCTCGAGGAGCAGCTGCGGACGAGCAGCGTGACGGTCAGCCTGAACAAGCACGGCGAGATTAGCCAGATTTCCAAGCTGGGAGGCACCCCGGTCGAGGCGGTGACGCTGCTGCACTGCGGTAACGTGGCGCTGCAAAAGGCAAAGGAGTTCTCGACGATAGTGGACGAGAGGTTGGCGGACGATGCGAAGCGGAGGGACAAGGGTGGTCTCATATCAGAGCTACTCTCGGCGGAGAATGACAGAGTGGTGGACGCATAGAACACGGCCAGTCAAGCAGAGGAAGATTAACCAAAAAAATGTAAAATGATACCCAGCCAAATACGCTCTCAAAAACCCATGCTCTGCAAAAAGGAGCAAAGTGACCAACGTGGCTTCACCCGTTCGTCCCTTGACTTTGAGCCCCCAACTCCATCTACGCCCAGTCTAGAAAGAAGTTACCCGTGTACTATCATGCCTCGTAAATGACGACAAGCCAGCGACGACGTCTACCGCATCACCGGCGGCCTCGACTCCTTATTCCACTTCACCCTTGACCGCACCCACTCCACCGCCTCCTTGACGCCCGTCCCCGTCAGCGCACTAACAGGCAACACCCTCGAGTCGCGGATACTGCTCGCCTTCTCGCCCTCAAAGACCTTCTTCACAAGCCCCTCCTTGATCCTCACGACCTCGACGCAATCCTCGCGGTCCTGCTTGTTGGCCAGCACCAGGACGGGCACGCCCTCGGTCTCGGAGTGCTGCAGCACGTCCTCGAGCACGAGGCGGCACTCGTCGA